GAAGTAACTACTGAAGAAGCATATAAGGAGCTTCCAGCCCAGAAGTCTCCTCTCGTTGAAGAACCGGAAGCAGCGGAAAGCGAGGGGACGGAAGAAAGCGAGAAAGAGTAGGCGCTTTTGAGCTGGCTATATCTTTAGCAGATGCTGTTTCATCTTGCATTTTTCTTGCAGTGATGGCAAAAAATCGAAGAACGAAAGTTATGGGATAGAAGAAATGGAAGTTGTCCACGAAAGAGTGGAAGAGAGCATTTCTGTTGAAAAGTCAGTTTTCTTCTATTTTCTTCGTCAATTTCAATTTTCTTAGTAAAGAACATTCTGCATTTTTTTGACATTGACGCCCCCTTTGATTTGCTTTTTCTGTTTAAATAAGAGTGCATGTGTGTACTATAATTGTGACCCCTCAAACCTATCTCGACTCTTTTTCCTTCCGAAAAAATGGCTTTGTAAAGAAATTATGGAAGGTTGTCTTTCCTCAAGTGTATCTTGCCTTTTTTGAACAAGAGAAAATATCGGCTCATCAAATTTGATTTCAAAACGATTTCGAACAGTTTTTACGAGTTAAAGGACACCTCAGTGCTAATCTGCGTTTCTTTGTGAGGGACTGTTTTTTTCCTTCTCATGAATGCAAATAGTCGTACATAGCATTTAATGTTCAGGAAGGATGAAGATGAAGAAAAGAAGGATGCTGAGGAAGGCGAAGAAAAGGAAGCTGAAGAAGTCGAGGAAGCCCCGAAGAGGTAGTATCCAATAGTTTCCATGATAGTTGATTTTAATACTTTTATGTTCAATAGTGGCCGTAATGTACGCCAATTCTAGGCGATCATCTCGTCGCTCCGCTGCAGCTTCGCCTGAAAAGAAGACTCCAGCGCGCGCGAAAGCAACACCGGTACCCTTTTTTCGTTCTCATTTTCACTATGGTTTTTGCTTCGAAATCGTACTATCAGCACTTCTGTATACTTCATCACGTTGTTAATTTTTGCGTGCAGTAGTCAGTAATTTATTAATAGAATCATTAGTTATTAGTGGTGAATAGTTCCCTTGATTTTCGTTTTTTAGGCTAAAAAAGCCTCAGCCAAAAAACATGTCGACGAAGAAAAGGCCGATGACGAGGAGGTATGTGACTGAACTATTAATATCTAGTCCTGTGACATAACTGTTGTTCTCAGAATCAAGGAATTTTTATATCTGCATCTCTTGCAGAAGCCTGAAGAGATGGAAGAATCGGAAACAAAAGCAGATGAAGGTGAAGAGAAGGAAGAGGAAGCTATTGGGACTAAGTCTTTGCGATCGCGGACCCGCCGTTCAAATGTTGCTGAGACACCAAAGGTTGGACATACTCATTGTTATTTTACCCTCATATTCTCCACATATTGACGTCACAATGTTCAGGCAGAAGAGCAGACACCCAAAAGACGTGGGAAAGCGGCTAAAAGCACAAAGAAGGATGTTGCTGCTGAAGCAGAAGACGAAAGCGAGCAAGATGCTGCTAAGGAAAAAGACAAAGCAGAAGATAAAGACGAGCAACCTTCTCGACC